ATATTATACCAGTCATTCTTTACTTTTAAACGAAGATGACTATAGTGAGAACATTCTAAGAGGAAATTCTTAACTGTTTCAGATTCATCACATGCACAAAAATGCAGCAGTCGCAGAATTTCTACATTTCAGACATTCTACAGAATTCTATAGAATTCTACATTTTCGCTGTGAATTCTACAACAACTCATTCACAGCTGAAACATGATAAGTCCGAGTTATTCTCAAAACAGAAACCTAGGAAATGTATAGAACTCTATAGAATTCTACGTTAGTGCTGTACGTAGAATTCTACAGAATTCTACAGAATTCTAGGTAAGCATAGATACATAATATATTGACCAAGTTTGAGTCAAGCGGAAATGTATAGAATTCTATAGAATTCTACGTTAGTACTGTACGTAGAATTCTATAGAATTCTATACATGTCCGCTTGACTCAAACTTGGTCAATATTTTGTATATCTATGTTAACCTGGAATTCTACGTACAGTACTAACGTAGAATTCTATAGAATTCTATACATTTCTGCTTGAATAAAACTTGGTTAGTGATTAATGTATCTGTGCTAGCGTAGAATTCTATAGAATTCTGTAGAATAGCTGAATTGCAACAACTCTGACATCCCTCGCAATTTGACGTAAATTGATAGGTAGCTCATCCCATTGTCTTACAACCCATGGAAAAAAGGTATTTTTGAATTTTTCTGACCGAGTAATAAACGTATATAGATGTCCTGCTATTCGAGATCTTAGAGATTTAGAAACAGTTGGATAAATTGGTATTCTTCGAGATAGAAAAGTTGGTGTAAACCCTTTGTTTATTTGAAACAATAAAAGAATTTTGTTCATAATAAATAAATGCTCAGTAGAATTCCATCCCAGAATTTTTAGTACTTTCTCTCTTGACGTGAAATGCATAGCTCCACTTATGATCAAAGCAGCTTTATACTGTATGTCATATATAGGTTTTAAATAAGCTGGCAAATGAATAAAATTAGTTGTTGTGTGTATTTCTTTTAAGCAAGCATACACTACATTATTAATGTCACTGCATATGATTTAAAGAACTGATCAAGAGTTGATGTGCATAACAAGTGTTTATTTCGGTGCATTTCGTAAAGAATAAAATTATACTTTTTACATATTTCTTTTACATACAGTGACCAGTCTAGAAATTTCGTTAGATGTACTCCTAGATGTTTATGACTTTTTGTTGACTTTTATTCTGGATGTAGCGGAAAAAAACATTCCGAACAAACATATCCAGATATGGAATATAAAACAACCTTGGTTTACAGATGAATTGCGTGATTTATGCAGACTAAAAAATAAACTCTTTAGAGAGTACAAACACAATAGAGGCTTGGCCAAAAAGTTGGCCAATAGTTTCAGTGTCCATTCTTTTTCAAAATTTCAAGCAATCGCTGACAAGGCTTTCAAAATTACTTTTTATGCTTAAAAGTAGAAAAAACACTCTTTTTACAATGTTTCACTTAAAAAACCTATGTCGTAGGAAAACTTTTCAAACTTTTTAAAGCTTATTATATACAACCGAAGACTGTCTACAAAATAACTCTGTCGCGACGTTGATAGGACATTCCAATAAAATATAATGAATTATTTTACAATACCATCAAAATCGGAATTTTAATTAAAATTTAAAGTTAATTAATAACTCTGTGAATAGTTACCAGTTCATCGGAAAAACTGAAGGATATGTGTAATCAGGTGTTCTCTTCAAACTGACGTAGTTTGAGGGCACATATAGGGGGGTAGATCCCACTTAAAATGAATTTTACTAGAAGTCCTAAAAACCCCCTCAAAATTTCAGATATTTCAAGTTTTTCTAAGTAAAAGAATTCAATTTTAAAGATTTTCTTTGATTAAACGTAAACGCAGAGTAAAATCAAAAATTTTAAAAAGATAAACCGATAAAATATCAGTGAAAACCTGAACAATCGAATCTACCAACGCTGCTGCAAGAATAATAGTGGATTGATAGTGAGAATTAATAAAGCGATAGAGGAAAATTGTTCGACTTTTAAACAGTCGATTCCAAAACGTTCGTATAGATTGCAAAAAGTTTTTTGCACATTATCAGGTAATTACGCGTGGATTCCCTACTACGTACGACCAGTTCGTTTAAAGTTGTTGTAATAATGTATAATGTAATGTAAAAACATTACATTTTAATATTACTCCTTGTATTCATAAAAAAGTTCAGCTTGACTGGTTGTAGTTTCTCTCAATACAATGAGCATTCTTTACCAGTAAGACCTATTCTAGGTTATCATCTTCAGCTATATTCATCAGATCTTGTCGCAATTTTTACGATATTTATGGTCAAATGTTACACACTCAGTTTTTGTGCTGGAAAATTGTATCACGTTACAAGTACATTAGAATACTGCATTAATAAGATAAGTATTCCTACCGGGCGGGACCATTCCAAGAGAAACAAAGAAAAAAGACTATTCAGCTATTTTCTAATTAGCTGGTGTTATCATTATTTTGCAGAAATTATATCAGCACTTTCTTTGAAACAGATTTAGACACGAAAGAAAACGATGTCCTAGAAAATGAGCTTCAGCGTATTTCTGAATATTTCTGTAGTTTTTCATCGCCTAGAACTGACTTCTTCCAAATAGTGCCTATTCAACCCTAAGAACGTATTTAAAGTTTTGTCTATGGAATATGAGGTTGAGAAATCAGATGAAAATGTCGGAGAACCTACAAAATGTTCAACTTTCTCAGCTGACGAACACGGCTTTTTTCTTCTATTCGCTGGTCCATCTAAGAAAATGTAGCAAAATCTTAGCCTTGTTGTGATTTTTTGTTATAAATTTTTCTATAAGCTGTGTAATAAGAACTTGTTAGACTAGCTTGTATTCAACCCATAACTTTGATTCTGCGTTTACAGTTATTCTGTAAAACTTATATAACTTAACAAAAATCATTGATTCACGAGCACACGTAGTAACTCATCAAACATTCCAGGCAAAACAATCCTTCCCTGAATTTTAATGTTAAAAAACGTTGAAGAATTTGTACTAATTAACAATGCAAATTAAATAATGTTTTCTTTTCATAGCAAGACGAAAGTGATGTTAAGCTAGTGGGACAGGTTCGTCCTTATGCAAATGTCGAAGTTTACCTGTCTGGCTTCAATTGCATAATATGTCATGGAACACTGCATAAACCAATTCAAATAACAACATGTGGACATAGAGCATGTTCTGAATGCTGGCAAACACATATTGCGTAGGTATCGAAAACCTCTAGTAAACTGGTTGCCGATTAAGAGGCCATTTTATTCTCAGTTCATTAAACGACTTAGTTTGCCCACAATGTTCAACATCGACAACATCAGATGACGTAAGACAATGAAAAAGTAAAACATCATTTTTACACATAATCACAAAACTTCTCTTTTATCCTAGATTATGAGTGATCGTGCTATCGAAAGAGAGATTGAAAAAGTGACCAAAGGAAATTCAAAATATCGAACTGCCAAACATGTAATGATTTCTTATCGGGGTCTATCGATACAGGTAACCTATCTAAGATAATAATAAAAAAATAGATCATTGCTATAAGTATTAAGAGTATACAGAAAAGTACAAATATTGTCTTTAACCGAGGAACGTTTTGAATGATTTTGTACAAGCAACTTTTTTCGACTGTTTTATAGGAAAATCACCATGATTCCAAAATAAATGTATCGACTAAACTCGCTAAATCGTTATGTCCGAATGATAGACCATCATGTTATCCAACACCTTCAGGTGAGTAAGAGCTGGTTCCATGAGTGTTTCACATGAAAGCTATTGAGATCTAACATCTATAACATTTTAAATGAAATAATGCTGTTACAGCTGTTCAAAAACGACTTTTCAAAAGAGAGATTCTGCATCTATTTTTTGGGAAATGCAGTTTTTCGATTTCCATCCTTAAAACTTTACAACCTGAGAAGGTATGAAAAACATTATTTGTTACGAGCATGTTCTTCTTTCCCGCTGTCTTTTATGTAATTTTGCAAGCGTTCGGAGGAAAAGTTTTGATCTGTTGCCTTTCCGTACGTTAAGTTTCTTAATTAAACAAATATCTTCATAAGAAGGCTATATTACATCCTTATTTTCGATATCTTTCTTTTTTAATAAAAGTTTTACCGGTTATTCAGCGCCCAGTCAGTTACAGTCATTCCAGAAAAGCGCAGGAAACTCTGTTTACGAAAACTGTTACGCGTTTTGAATAATAACGCGCAAGAAACTGCGAGAGTGTAAAAATAAAGCGCAGGAACACGCGTGTAAAGCCTTTGTTTCCATGACAACGTGCGTTTCCTGCGCTTTATTTTTACACTCTCGCAGTTTCTTGCGTGTTATTATTCAAAACTCGCTAAACGCGTAAAAGTTTTCGTAAACAGAGTTTCCTGCACTTTTCTGGAATGACTGTGACTGACTGGACGGCGTCGAAATAATTTTGATGCTGTGGGGTGCAAAATTATTTACGATACAATTCTTATTTTCTGTATTAATATACATCATATTTGTTTTGTCTCTTCTCTCTACTCCATCCATTATTTTCCAGAACGGTATTTTTCTTTGTGTCGTTAACTTTAATGATCAACAGAAAAGAAACTAAAAGACTATGTGTACTTTAATGGATATAAAACGTGTAGATACAAAACTGTGCTCTGTTCTTGAAATAAAAATGTAGACGTAGGAGCAAAAGAATCAACAGCTACTGGTGTCTATTTAGAATTTTAGAGAAACAAATAAAAAACAGAAAACAAGAAAAGGAAGAAGTCTAAAGAGAAGAGAAATGCTTTTAAAGTTAATAAGACGATAGAACCCAAAAGACTTCTTTTTTCAACTGGTTGCATAAATGTTGCGCAAAGGAGGAGGATGAACAAGTTAGGAAAAACTCCCCTTAAAATGTCAATTTGTTAAGACGGGAAAGGTGTCGGATTGGAACATATTCCATCACTTCATTTCCCGAAATGTTGACGCCCGTGGTTCCCTACAGAAGTTTTGGACAATGTTTTTGTCAGCTTTTCTCAAAATACATCTACTAGATTCAGCTTTTAGCCCTGATCAAGAACGTCGCATCTAAAACAAAAAAAGATATTGCTTTTACTGAGAAAATCAAACTCTACTTTCGAAGAGAGCAAACTTGAATAAAACTACCTTTTCGAGAAACTACGGGCAGGGTGCTGTGAAAAATTTTCCTTTAGCTAAAAATTAGTGACGTTTTTTAACTTTTAATTTTGATGAGATATTGCTCGGATTTTTTTGTTGAGCCGTTATTTTACAAATGCGACTGTATAAAAGCAGAGTGATGTTAATTAAGGGTAAGTATCACTAATTAGCTATTAACACTAGTAGAGCAAGTTACTAGAGAATTACTGAGAGTATTTCGTGTTTTCAATTTTTCTACCTCACAGTTGGTTGTAAAAAATTTTCTTTATATATTATTCTGCAATTCAGACATTCCTCTTTCTAACATAAAAATATATAAGACGGATACATATCGAGAATTCAGATAAAAAGTCGCTTTATATCATATGTTTGTGAAGTGTTGATTCGTTAAATGTTGTTCTTTGAGCACTACGGTTTTCTTTTTTTAATGTTTAGTCACGGAAGAAACATCGCTGATTCTTATTTATGTGGACACGAACACATCTCCGAATCTTCGCCTTTACGAAAACCTACAGTTGTTGAATGACCGAACATTAATCTTTTACGTACATGAGCCATTCTTGGAATATATTCGTACTCACTGTAATCAGCATGCAAATTTAATTTTGTCTACTGCACTAGTAGATGAACTTGTACGACAAGTACACCACTTACCTAACGTTGATTCCGTATACATTCATCACCATGAAGCCGATCGATATAATTTACTATCACAATCATGTTCTAAAGTGAGGGCCGTCTATCGCAATCCGGATAATTTGTTTTCTCAAATTGGTATTGATCTTGGTCTGCTTTTCTTTAAACGATTCGAACAATATAAGAAGAATGGTGATATTAGTGCAGCAAACGAATGTCATCAACATTCACTGGAAATGTACAATATTGTAAACGAATGTATGAAGGCAGACGAAGAAGAAATTAAAGAGTTCAGTCGATTGTAACTAGCAGATGCAAACAAATTATCGTTTTTTCATGACACATTTAATCAAGTACTTTTCGTATATATTGCTTATCATAAAGGTACGTTCTCAATTTGCATCTTTAGAGATGTGCATTGTTGCTAAATTTTAATTTAAAACTCTTAAAATGACATTAAGGTCATCAACTAGTGTCAAAATCTAGGTGGGTATTTTAGAATCAATCTTTTTGAAATAAACCGCTATAAATAACCATCATCCGACGTTTTTTGATGTACTTTTTTTCTTTCAAGCGAATTACTTAGGTTCTTTATGTACATTGTTCTCAAATGAACGTGGTTTTTACTCGAAAGAGCAGGTAAAAGTGTAGTATGTTACATTTTTAACTGGTTTAATAGGGAAATAACTGTGAGACATTTCCGAAAACTCAAGTTTGGAAAGAATGTGATCAAGAACTAGTCATACGGTGGAGCTCGAAACTTTTTTAACATCTTTTTCTTTAACTGTTTCGCTGCTTTCTGAACGCTGTTCATCATATCCATTAACTGTTGTAAAATTGTCATATCTTACTGGTCAGGAAGTTTACAACGTTCCTACAGTTTTTAACGAATAAAAAATCGAAATGACTGGCAGAAAGATGCTACTTTTGCAATGGAATCGAAATGGGTATTTTACATATAAGTGGCGCAGTAATGTTCGAAAACTTTCTGGTATCAGGTGATTAAACTCTCGGTTTTATCGAAGGACGGAGCTATGTAGAGCTGTTACAGAATTTTTGAAATGATTTGAGTGGAATTTTATTCATGGGAGCTCTTTTGACTGATGCCCTACCCTACTTTAGTAATTCGTCTTCCTTATAACACACGAAATTTGATCGGAGAAAGATGCTGTTAGCTACTAAAAGGATGTATTCGGATATTTCTTTACTTTAAGAAAAGCCTTTATGTAATGTATATCAAAAGCTGCCTGGTTTCCACAACCACTATCCCATTTTACTCGTGCATATTATGTAGATTTAATAAATAAGTATATCTGTTGCTTGCCAGTTTTTTAACAGGATCACTTTGCTTCTAATTTGGTTTTAGATACCCATTATCTTCCAATCTGTTATTAAACATCACATTCTTTCAGATTTACAGGAAAAACTCGCAAAACAACAAATTTACTAACTTATACTTCTTTTTTGCTATTCTTCAAATCAAAATGTCCGATTATTTGTCCCCTCTTACCGTCGCTGATAACACTGGTGGCTACAGTGTATTTGATATACAATTACATGAACGAAAATTTATATGCCCAGAGTGTCAAAAGATAATCCGTGATCCTGTTCAATTACCTTGCGGAGACCGATGTTGTAAAAGTTGCAGGTATGCCGTTTGAAAGGACTGATGTTTTATGGTTATTAAGAGATTCAACGTCATTTTTTAGTCGTTTTATCACGTCAGAAATCGTTCAAAACAAAAATGATGTAATAACAAAGCGTCTTCAAAAGGATGATCAATGTCTGACGTCAAATAAAACGGAAAAGATTGGCATGCAACTACTTGTACAGGATACAGTTCAAATGATACAGGTATTTTTGCATAGTTGGCTCTAATATCTGAGTAATGGAGACTTTGCCATATCATTGCTAAGACTGATACACCGATATTTACTGTTATAGAATGTTTCTTGGAAATGTCGTTTATGCAACGAAGAGTGGGACACTGCTCCTAAGGTAGATACAAAGTCGATTGCGATATTTTTTGTACGATAATTCTTGTTCAAGTTGTTAGACGATCGAGGGTTCAAACGAGAAATGGATCTGTTGCGAGTCATGTGCATTGAATGGTCAAATAATTGTCGATGGCTTAGACCACTGAAAGACTATCAGGTATGAAGTTTTTGATATATTTCTAATCAGTTATTGGAAAACTATTTACTTTTGAAGGAACATTTGGATATACAGCATACTAATATATTTGTCACTTTTGTTCAAAATTTTTTATTCTTTTCAACTGACACGTATTTGTCAAATTTGTTCAAGATGAAACGTAGTTAAAAAATCTCATGATTTGAAAATACTAAAACAGCAGTATATAACTTATGATGAATATCGATGAAATATTTTTATTTAGAAACACTTGGATGACTGCCATACCAGCTACTCTGTACTTTGCGATAAAAAAATTTCTTCGTTAAGTCAGTTGAATCAACACAAGGAACGTCAAGAAATCTGTAACTATGTAAATGAACTAACGAAAACGATCGCAGACAATGAAAGTCGTGTTGCCACTATTGTATCAAGTCAAGGAATTCTTCAAGAAGAACTATCAAGTATCAAAGAAAAAGTCGATAGTTTGAAGCATGCATCCGACGATGGCACTCTAGTATGGAGAATTACTGATGTATCTGAGAAAATGGCTGATGCCCAATCGGAAAGACAAACATCCATTTATTCTCCGCCGTTCTATTCATCATCCGCCGGATATAAAATGAGAGCACGTTTATATTTACACGGTGACGGGGATGCTCGTCGAACCCACATGTCACTCTTTTTCGTCTTGATTAGAGGGGAATTTGATTCAATATTGAAATGGCCATTTAATCACAAGGTGACGTTTTGCTTATTTGATCAATCAGGACACAATCGTCATATTATTGATTCATTCTGTCCTGATGCAAAATCAAATTCATTTCAGCAACCACGGTCACTAATGAATACTGCGTGCGGTATTCCAAAATTTTGTCCTCTACCAATGATACAACAAGTCGATAATAATTATATTCGAGATAATATTATGTTCATCAAAGTTGTTGTTGATTTTTTCAATTTGCCGTATGTAATGTTACCATATGAACCGTTCTTAAATCCCGGTTTACCATCACACGTTCGAAATCATATGCTAAAACAACAGCTATACCGTTATAAGCAGGTAGAAAACAGAAGCACCTACTATCAACATTCTGAAATGGACACAACGGGACAAGAGGTAGCAGATACCCGCCATGTTGCAGATGCTACGCCAAATGATACAGTCAATCAAAGAAATTAAATTTTATTTTTTATACACTTACTCATACTGGAACAGAATATTTCTTTGTACGCCGATGATAAACAATTCTTTTAGTCAAGTTATAATGCTTTTTATTGCGAGTTTATCAATCAATTGTGACGTGATGACGAAGTTTACAAACTAGACGATTGGGATTCAAGCGAGATCTTGATTTTCAGCAGTTCACCTGTGGCATTGAATTTCTTAGGAGTCGCAGAACTGGTATTTGTCGACTTTTCGGAGCCTCATAACCAACTGGAACATAGATAATTGAGTACGCTGAGTCTTGTGCCAATAACTGTTTTCCGTAAAAGGTTGAACAACCTAGTGAAAACTTATATTTTCATAGTAACATTAGAATAAAATTGCATATTTCCGAAAGTATTGCTTTCCACCAGGTTATTCAACCTTTTACGAAAAATAGATATTGGCACAAGAGTCAGCCTGCTTGACTACCAGTGTTGTAGTCGACTTTTAGACTCCTAAAAGTCAACAGATATCAGTCCTGCGACTGCTAAGAAATTCGATTCCACAGCTGAACCGGTGGAAATCAAGATCTCATTTGAATCCTATTTCAGAGAGGATACTTTGGACTATCTGTCCTCGAAAGAAATGTATAATCCTATTACAAATTTTTGACCATAGCCAGATTCTTCAAAGATCCTTCTAAAATCCTGCTCTAAAACACGGTTTTTAACCTTATTTTCTTCAAAAATTGTGTCACCCGTTGAAGACCAGTATAATAAACAACTCTTGTATTGATGCAAACTTTTCCAAATGCTTTGTTCACGAGGAGTGTTTGACAAGAATTACCTTTTGCACTAGAAGTCATTGCATGAGAAATATGACGGATTCTAATCGTTGCTCAATGAGTGTCACAGACTTAGCTGAAAAGAAAGATGTTCGTTCTATCATATTTTCTTTTCAAATTATAGTAATTTAAATTGAAAAACCTGGATTTTAAGATGTTTTTCAGTGTTATTGCTATAACTGGAAAGATGGTATAACGAAAGAAAAAAATTAATATTTGGAGAATGTTGCTTAGTGTTTATGATAAACTTTTGAGGTCGTTCGGGTCAAATCGTCTGGGCGTCGCAATGCAACGATATGAATAACGGAGTTTTCTGGAAAACTTGAAAGGTGGATACTTTTAGGCAGCAGACTAAAGACCAAGGATCGAAAAGAGTTTTCATACTGCTAAACGTTTCCAAAAGCTTTTCTCGAATCCCTAAGTAGAAAAACTATTTGAATATTAGTTATATTACCAAGAAATCATGTTACTTGTCTTATTTTTAATCTGTTGTTTGTTTATATAATTACGTTAGTTGATTAAATATATGAATTAAACAAATTTATAAAGGAAAGCCAAAACTGAATTAAAAACGGTGGTTTCTCTATTCACCGTCTTCATAAATATACTTAAATTTATTCTGAAGTTCAAAATCCTGTAACTAACAAATTATTAAAATGTGTCTGCTTCATTATAAAGGCCCGTTATATCAACGAAAAACTATCATTCTGTTTTATCCCATTTCTTCATGTTCTTAGACTTATTCATCTCTTTCTCGTATGTTTTTAATCATAGCCCATTTCTTAAAGGTACTACGATGTCTTGTTTTGTTAAAAATGTACCTCTTTATCCATAGGGTGTTTAAATCATTTTTGCACATAGTGTCCCCTTCAAAGTGGAAATCAAGCTAAATTGAAAAAATTGCAATTTGAGATCCTTTAACAAAAACTTATTCTATGGAAATACGACCTTTTTTCTAATAGCAGAAAAGAATCTTTTATTTTCAAGTAAGGATACCGTGATAGCATTTCTGCAAAGCTGCTCAGCAATTTTCTTTCTCATATACATCTGTATAAAAAATATAAATTTGAAACTCTTGTTTAAAATAGGTAACTAGCTTTTCTTTTACTTCTGACACTTTTTCGACTGAATTGGGCTCGAGTTTTGAGATTTTGATCTTTTCCAAGTATTTCTCCCTCAACATAGATACTAGACTCGTGATCCGCATCAAAAAATGGATTAGCTGAGGAATTATGCGGTATATTTCACCCACAAATGTTTTTCCTGACGCATAGCGTTTGACCAGGAAATTTTTTTTTTGAAAGCATTCTTTTTCTTTCTACTAATTGACTTCTGTATTATTATATTAAGATTTCAGTAGGGACCACCAACATTTTTATTTTGGCTCATTATGACAGTAGGTGTAAATATACCCTTACGGTAGTGCGTTGCTTCCTGGTGAGGGTGAAATTGTTTTTGGTTAAAAAGCAAGAAAGACCGAAGGAAAAACAACTGCGATTGTTTCTTATTTATGAAGTTCTAAATTAAATTTTTGATCAAAATTGAAGTCTGATAATTGAGACAACCGTGGCTCTTGACATGACGAGCATGTGGACCTAAAACTTTCAAATTATTTTTATCTGCTGACTGTTGACAATATACCTAAAAATCTACCAATTCTAAAATACCTTAACTGCTGCGTGAGTTTCAGTTTCTGAGAAACTCGTTCTTAAGTGAGCGCTCTTGTTTCTTTAATCAATAACCACGTTTTTAATATACATTACCATGGAAAGCCTACTAAACAGAGTCCTAGGATAGAGGACGGGGTTCATGACAATATATGCGAAGGTTCAGAAAACGAAAGTATCCCTGACCACTCTTAGATTCTTACGGAGCCCATTTAATGTCTTAAAAATCACCAAAGAAGTAACAACGCAGTCGCTTTATCAGCATAGATATAGTTAAGCCTATCTTAGAAAATCAAAAAGGCGTTAACATATTTAGTACAAACAAAGTCGATGTTCAAAATTCAAAACCATTTGCTTTCTTTTAAGCTGAGTAAACCCGCGTGACTCATAGAGAACTTTGACAATGAATTTGTCTTTTCTGTTGTGATGTCAGGACGACGATTAGAAAGAGGATGGGTGACCGCCTCTGAAGACCGAATCACCGAAATAATTCGGTGACGTCGGACGTATATGTTCTTAACTGTGTTGAGAAAAGAGTCGCAGAAAGGCAGTCTTAAGGACTGCGCGCATAGTAAGGATCAGTCCAAGTTTCCAAGGATTGGACTTTCTTGTGACTAAATAAGCGATTGTAAAACAAATTTATTCGAGGACTTTTACCTTTTATCTTTTCTGACTGATTCTGACTGTCCGAACTCAGTAATCTTCATTAAATTCACAGGCAGTGACGCACCTAAGATTTTTTGACAGGATGACCAACATTTTTTTCTGCCTCTCCTGAATAAGCTTTATCTAGGACATGAAACTCTGTCTTTTGAAATCGCACGAAAATTTATATATGCATTGAAGCGAATTGTGCATTAGTGTAAATTTAGGAGGTGGCCACAGACCTGCCCTAGCTCTGCTGTAGATTCTGCGCCTCTCATAGGTATCGACACCCATATACACACAAAGAAAGTGTGTGTAGTAATTACATAACATCTGTTGCCAGTCGCTTCATAAGTTAGGAAACTCGATCATGACCTTGCATTTTCTTCTAGAATATTTTTATTTTTGTACACACTCTTAACTCATGAAACTTTTTCATTTTTTCAAAGAACCGGTGGAATATCGAGATTTGTTGAAGGCTTTGGGAATTTATTTGTTATGTTTGTTGGCATCAGTGTTCAGTCAAACAAAATAGAAATACCAGAGCGGTCAAAGAATTAACAGCATTTGCCACTAGATTTTCCACAATTTTAGAAAACTGGAGTCGAAGAGTCTCTTACAAGATCAATAAAAAGAAATATTTTCATGCCCGATTTAAAACGACAGCGTTGCAATTTGTGACATAACAATACAACCTCAGAGATCGTGTTTTGCGCCCACAGGAAATATAAAAATAGATAAAATGAAATTTACATTAAAACCTTTTTCCGTTATTTAAAGTAAATTTATCTGCCTGGCTTCTAAATAACAAAAATTTCTTATTATAGGTACAAGCGTACTTCCCGCAATCATACGCGGAGTCTGAAATATTAAAATATTTGACCGTAAGTTTTACTTTCACTTATTAGAAGAATGTTTCTCAATTTCAAGTTGTAACCGCTAAGTCTTACGAGGAACATTCTCAAGTGATTCTTTTTTTGTGGCGATTCGCATGCTTCTGATACACGTTTTTTGTGGTCGCATTAGAAAACTGGTCACTTTTGCCGCGGTGAACAGAACGCTGAGAAAATTTAGCTTTATGCATAAAATTGAGTCAATATGCCGACAGCGTAAATTTTATAATTTGATTTTAACTTTTTTCTTTAGGTTTTTTTCGAAATACTTTTTCATTTCCCGGCAAAATACATGGAAAAAAATTTTGTGTTCATTTGTTTTACGTTTTGTGACCCGATCTTGTCTGCACTCAGAAATGATTATAAAGACATTTTAATAGCGAACTTGATGTTTACAGGAAAAATACATGTAGTTAAGTGTAGCAAACTTCTATCTACTATGACTACATAAAGATAGCATAATATTTCTTTCACATATTTCATATATTTTAAGGGTAGCTACATACTAATATCCTTGAGCGGTGATCAAAAATGAAATATTCGATTTAGTGTTAAATTTAAACAGCGCTTTTACTCTACATTTTCTAAGTGTTTGCGCTTCTAAAGTAGTAAAGGCTAGTAATGTGGAAATCCCTGCATTCGAAAATAAAATGTTGTTTCTGATAAGTTATATACAAAGTAAAGAATGATACAAATCCTGATGATTAACACTTAATCGGAAAAAAGCAAGTAACGTATTTTCTATTCAAAACCTCAAACTCATTATTATCTTATGAAGAAAACGATCGTAAACGGCATGCCTTTAAATTCTCTTTTGATAACGGTAAAATTGAATTATTTTATACATACAATAAATAAAAACGAACATTAAAGTCTTGTAAAATGAGATGAAGGGATATATACGATGATGAGAGGTTAAGGAACGCGGGATAATCATATTGAATTTTTGAATAAAGTGTTTATTCTCCATTCAGATGATTGCAGGTATAGTAAAAAACATTTCCTCCACTAAAGTTAGATAGTAATTTTGGTTTCATATTAAACGCAACGTAATTTATTTATAGAAATATTATGCATTTCTTTCTATTCGTCGTTGTTGTGTCGTTCACCTTATCATCCATTATCGACAGCGCTTATTCATGGCATAAGCCAGTGAATGATACGATTATAATTGATAAAAGAACGAAATTGCTCGTAGAAAAAATCGGTAAACTTCTGTATCTGACGGAATCAACAGGTATTGCGATCATGATTCCGATTTTTCAATTTGGCTGTGATCCAAACATCAAGTATAAAAGACACACAACAGCAGTTATTAGATCATATTTTATCTAATGATAAAATTTTACAATCAACAGTGGCAAATCCCGTGTCATTGGCGGATACTGGAAATGCCATTGTTGAAGAACTGAATCAAACACGTCATTCAATGGCAATTCTGCAAGATCGACTAGTCTATTTTTATAATCACATGAAGACACTTCAAAACGTAGTCAATATTGTTGCACAACAATCAATACCAACAATTGAAAATGAAATATATTATGATAAAATACACCAATCATTAGATGATTTGATAAATGGGAAAAAAAATTTTGATTATCTATCTCGTGATGAACTGCACCAATTAGTTAATACACTATTTCAACGGTCAAGCAAAATCCTTGCACTGTTTGATATGGCTTTAATGACACTTATTAATCGTCTAATTGCATCAGAGTCATTTTACTTTGTGTTAAATACAGATAACGGTACCAACGGCAATAATCCTAAAGCTCCAAATGGTGAGATACCAGCGATATATTTTCTTGGAAAGTTGATTATATCGAATCTTGCATTTATTCCCCACGTTCATCCATCGATACCAGTATATCAAGTGTATAGTACACCTTTCTTCGCATCCAACATATCATATCAAGTTCATAATTTACCACGTTATATAGGCATTGATTACGAATAGAACCAATCATTACCATGGTATATAGAAGATAACCATATAGATGCATGTAATTTCGATAAAATAACATTCTGTGATGTTCTACCATCGATTGTTCATCAAAGAATCGAGCACGCTTGTTTAAACAATATGTTCGTTGATAACCAGGATCATACATGTTCGTACATTGAATCGTTGCTGAAATCTCCATATTTCCGAAATATTCACGATAATGTTTGAATAATTTCAGTTTCGGATGATACATACTGCGTAATGGCAACAGAACAAAATGATGAACCAACTCAAATAAATGGTGTAAATATTAAAAGTTTTGCCATTATCAAACTACCTTGTAAATCTACATTAAATTGTAAACATCAAATATCGTTAAGAAATACGAACTGTCAGTCGTCCATTGATTACTATCTTGCAAGTGGTGGGCATTATTCGAAAAATAATAAATTATTAGAACTATTGAACATGGACACATTCAACGATTCGATGTTATTAGGCTTTGTGAATGATGCCAATCAAATAAATATGATAAGTAAAAATATATCAAAGATACAACGTGATCAAAAAGACATACAGTTAGAAATAGAACAAAATATACTCAGATTGCCATCCATCAGCAAAAAATTTGGGGTCTCGTCCTTTCTATTAATATTGATTATCGGCGTTTTAATTATTAATATTCTTCTTATTATATTATATGTAAAATATTGTTTAAAGAAATTATATGTTAATGTGCCTGTTATGTAAAATGAAATCTGGTGAGTATGTCTGTTCTTGCGCAACTCATGCCAAACGCTTGCTCAACTTGTATACTATATATAGCCGTGCACTCACTTCAAATAAAGAAGAGAATGGGAGTTGGATCTCACAACTGGTCACTGTATGTATGCACGTCCACCACACTCCACACTCAAATCAGGAAAGTGCGATTACAAGCACTCACAAAATGATGATTCAGAAGAACAGAAATTTTTAAAATCTTAGCCGCTCTACTTGAGAGTACAGAAAAGCAAGGAAAATATGATTTTAGCCTGTTCGTACCATGACAACACTACAGGATAGCAACATTGTAGGATTTAAGGAATCCAGTGTACGAGTTCGAGAAGAAACTACACCTTATATCTTATAATGTTTTAATGGCAAGGACGGTTTAAAATCCTACGACCTTGCTTTCTCTCATCATCATAGTGATAAAATTTCCAGTCAGATCTGACCCGTGTTTTCTTAGTATTCTCCGTTCCTAGCCTTAGAAAGTGTCGTTGTCAGCTTTTCTCTGCTATTTTCTTCCAAAATAAGATAAGGACCATAGGCGGTGGAGCGTCTTGAGACTAGGTGAGGCTCATAGTATTTTCTTCTCCTTTCCTTTCCCATCGAACTTTCACCGAAGTGTCAAGCACAATAAGGTGTGCCTAATGCAAACTTGCAACTAGATGTTTTTTCCGACTCATTACGCATCGCTGGATAGAGTTCATCGAGCTGCTTAAGAAAATGGATTTGTTAATTTTTCAAAAAGCTTTTTTCATGTAGAAAAATGTCGAAATGACATGTCGAAAATACTTCATGGATGCAAAAACTTAAAATACCCTTCAAGTTCAAAAAACCTTTAATATCTCGGTTTTAGATTTTAGTGTGTTTCGATGTGTATTTCGAGATTTTTAGTTCATTTTCAGTTTTGGGTGAAAAGGATGGAGGTGGATAAGGTCATTTTGCATCCTCAAATATTTCTGAAAAAGTATTATACATTCGGAATCAGCATGAAATTCTGAATAAAATGTCGTATTTGATTCAATCGAGACTTGACTTCCGATTTTATTGAAATTCTTTTGCCTCTATGATCCCCTTGGAATACCAGATTGTCAGAATCTTTTGAAACACACATTGTCTGACGCAGAATTTAATGCTGACTACAAATATAAGATCAAACATCTGGAAAAAAGTCTTGACTAAGAAAATTGAGTTTGACTTACAGACAGTGGTCGTGACTTAATTGAATTAATGTCGTACTAGCACTCTAGTACATGGTTTGGAAACCTCATAAACCAGCTAAATATTATCGGGAACATGAAGACTTCCAGAATATGTTGTTTAAAAAGTTCGAAAGGCTGATTTTCTATTCCAAGCTGAAAAAGCTTGAAATTCCTTGTATTAGATAACAATCTATCGGTTCCATTTATCAACTGTGTTCAGATACTATAGTGATTTCAATTTATCTTTCCGATATTTACTGAACGCTTAAAAACCTTTTGCGGAGACATATGATGCGGCACAAGTATACTTATTTATATTTTTAAATTTTTAGTTTTAGGTTATCACAGGGCATCCATGGATGCCACTAGTCTTTTGTTCTCTTCTGCGATATCCTGCTCTTGAGTAAAATAAAATCTTATCTTATCTAAACAATTGGTATATCATCATTTTTTATAATTCCACCTGTATCTTTCTCAATACTACGTTTGCGACTTTCATTATCATCTTGCTCAAATAATCGATCATATTTTCTATAAACAACAATAATACGTTTTAATACAATTTCGGTTCTACAGTCATTGGAGCAGCTGTAGCTTACTTTTCTTTTTAATCTGCGCCCGCATTTCTATGAATAACAGCTGTTTTTCTTGTTTCTTTCTTTCCAACTTATGCCATGGTATTATTTATCTGTTGAAATTTTTGATATATTTTAGTTCTCATTAAGGGGACATCCTCGTTCCAGCGAATCTGAAGAACAGCTTATCGCAAAGCCATGATATTTTCTAGACTAACACATCGAGATGTGTTATGAAAAACTTATGAGAATAATTGTCCGTCAGATGCCAAGCATCCCTAACTTGCCTTACCTTTGAACACTGGTTCATCCAGTATTCAAGATGATGAATTGAATATGGTTTTTCCTTTGTGTTGAAATGCGTTGTAGACATCTGACAACTTGATTTCAGTCAAAACGATTTGGACCATTTTCTAGTGTTGTGCCACATTTGTGGGACGTTTTCGACTCATCTCACATCTTTTTAAACTAGCCTAATCTGTGCATAATAATGTTCTTTAAAACGCATGTGTTCTTCAAAACGAAAAGGAATTTAAAATCTCGGAGTTACGCAACATTTCAAAAGTCAAGTCCTTCATTACGTTTCATCATTCAGAATTTCCTACTT